ACCTTCCTTACCTTATTACCAGCTTCCTCTAATGTTACCACCTTACATAATTATGGTACAGCTATCAAAACTAAGAAATTAACATTGGTATAATACTATTAATCAAATTCTAGAGGCTCTTTGGATTTTTACATTAATGTCCTTTTTCTGTTTCAGGGTCCAATCCAGAATACATTATATATAGCCATTTATTTCCATATTAAATTTATTTCCTAAGTTTCTTTAGCCACTTCCAATCTGATAGTTTCTCAATCTTGACTTTTGAAGAGTAGTGGTCAGGAATTTTAGAATCCCACAAATTGGGTTTGTCTAAAATTTTGTCAGAATTATACTGTTTATGGATTTGGGAAGAAGAATACCACAGAAGTGATATGCCCTCATCAAGTATTATCAGGGCACATGATATCAACATAACTTATTACTGGTGGTGTTAACCTTAACTCTTTGGCTAAGTTAATCAAGTTTTTAACCATACTACTCACTTCTAATGTAATTCATAAGAGGATTACTACAGAGTTAGATCCACAGTTGAGAAATCAAAAATATATTTCATCTAATGATTTGATGTTCTTTAGGAGGCTAGTGTCTGATCCTGGACTCCTAACTAACAGGAAAGGCATAAGATTTGGGCTCAAGATCTGAGTCCAAATCATATATCCCACTACTTACTGGCTCTAAGTCACAAACTCTAACAAGCCTCAATTCCTTCACCTGCAAAATGGGGATAATTACCATATTTAACTCAGAAAAAAATGGGGATAATTACCATATTTAATTAAGAGTTGTGAAGATTAAATAATCTGTGCATCACATATCATAACCATGAAACAATATACATATATTAATTATTGCTATTATATTTAAGCTTTTGAGTTGCTTACTGGACATTTATTTTCTTACTTTACAAATTGACTTTCATAAGTGGGTTGGAGTACCCATATAAGAAAGCCTACTGAAACTCAGAAATAAAATGGCAAAGTCCCAATTATGAAATGATAAAAAGATCCCTGAGGGTAGCAGTCTGTTTTCCACCTCTGTTGGGTCTATGAACACAACAAAGACTTTGATACTAGTAAAGAAATTATAAATACCACATACACATTTCCATAAGCTAATCATTCAGAAACCACATAATTGAGTCAATGAGGAAAAGAACAAAATAATTTGATAAATTATATTTCTATAAGCTCTTTAAAATGAGTATGAACTGCTGGGGAAAAAGATTTCCATAACTGTTAGTATTTAATATCCAACTATAAAGCCTCTTTTCCAGTATTTGAAAGACATGTCATTATTATGCTAAAAGTGAAACCACTGGTTTCAATATAATAGATGCTTAACTGTGGATCTTTCTCATATACCATGTTAGAATGTCAAATTATTAAAGGCAGAGATACTCACCTTTCTATATACTTCAATGAACTAGCACTTAATAAAAACTAGATTCTCATTGGAGTTACTTTGTAGTGCTTACCTATGCTCTCTGAACTAAGGCTGGAACCTCTGTGATGCCACTTGTGTTTTATACAATAAGCAGACTGAGTATATGCTTTAGGACACCAGCAAAGCCAGAGTAAAAAATAACAAAGACTTCCTTAAAGAATTTAGTATTTCAGCAAAAGCACTGAAATAGTCATCATGGGAAAAATCAGAATTTTATTGGACTTCTTTACTCTTATTTTTTGGCTTTGTTTTTATTTACATATGAGGTGGGGGGTGATGGGACATCAAAATCTTTCCAGTGCTTACGACCCCCAAAAATCTTAATCCAACTCTGTATGCATCTTAAATTATCATAAATTTTATTTACTGTTATTTAGCCAAAAGTATTTCACAGAAATAACACATATATATCTATACATAATGAGTGCACTTTAAGATTCTTCCTCATTGCAATATCTTTTCTTAGCAAGAAACCAAAATAAATACTAAAAAGCAACTATAAATTTGAAATATCTAAATGTACGTAAGAAATGAGAGGAGTTAATTTCTGGTGTTGTAGTACATACTTGACTCACAATTCAAGTTTAGTTGCCTAAGAAAAGAGCTGTAGTTATTTTTTTTCTCAACAATTCTGTTAAAGAAAAGACTGCTAATCTACGTCCTAGCCAGTCTCTTGCTAGAGATCACACAGATGTTTCTGGTGTGTTTTGTTGCTAATACTCTCATTATTCTTCAAGGAACTGGGTACAGATGTTGCTTGAGGATATGCTTGCTAGAGGCCGGCTGTAATTAGACCACTTGTCATTTTTTGCTTGGTTTCATTTTGACCACTGGGTGCACCATGTAAACGTGTTGCATGTTTTTAAGGGCAAAAAATATATATAGAAACCAGTAGTAAATTAATCTTACATAGCTTAAAGAGGAAGTTAAAAGTACAGACAACTGGTGTCTCACATGACTGAAATAAACCATTGGGGAAGAGACTATTTACTCCTTTACATTCAGACACCCTAACCACCCCGCCAAAAAACCCCAAGCCCCCATCTAAGTAGTAAAAGAGAACCTAGGCAATAAAGAAATGGCCTTGATAGAAAACCCTTCCCAAGAATTAGTGTAAATTTGCCTTTAAAGTTAATTGTTTTTCTCCCTTTCCCCGAAGAAATGGAATATTTCATTGGTTCTCTTCCCTTGGAACATTAAGTCCTCCGAGTTCGTCATGATTTCCTCCTTACACGTCTTCAGTTTTCGTAAAAATCAGTGTGTGAAGGCTTTTGGTTTTTCTGAACACTGTTCTCGCTGTCAGTCTGGGTCTCTTCCTCCACCCCTCCACGGACACCTCTGCCCACCAGGACCACGGGAGTTGGTCTGGCAGGTGCGAGACCAAGGCCCGGTACTGAGAAGGCTGCGGAGTTTACACCGTGCGCGCCCCAGAGGAGGCGGCGGCAGCCCTGGGCCTGGCCGCCCGAACTTCGAGAGCCTAGCGGGGGAGCACGAAGGCGAGCCGGCCTGCCCCGCCAGGGCCGGGAAAGACTTGGTTCGCGCCAGCTCGCTCTCCGCCTTCCAGCAGCCAGCACCGCCGAGCCTCTAAGGCCCTGCGGCTCTCTGCAGCCGTCTTAATTAACAAGCCTCTCCCCCCTCACCCGCCCCCGCCGGGCCCCGGGAGTCCGAGGTTTAGTGTCGCAGACTCCATCCCGTCCGCCAGCGGGAGGAGGCCAAACCCGGCTACACCAAGCAGAACTCCTCTCCAGCTGGGGACTGGCCGCGGGGCTGGCGGGTGGGAACCAGCGCAGGAGACGCTGGGAGGGCGGTGGGGAGCAAGGAGGTTGGAGGAAGGGCGCGGGTTGGGGGCGGAGCCAGGCGAGCTGCTAGCGCTAGCGCCTCCTGGGCAGTGGGCGGGGAGTGGGCGGTGCCCGGCCTTCCCGCTCCCGCGGCGCGGCAACTCCGCGGAGCCTCCTTAAAACTCTGCCGTTAAAATGGGGGCGGGTTTTTCAACTCAAAAAGCGCTCAATTTTTTTCTTTTCAAAAAAAGCTGATGAGATCGGAAAAAAGAGAGAAGAAACCGGCACCGTCTCTGCAGCGGCAACAGAAGCAGCAATTGTTTGAGCGAAAAAAGAAGCCAGGGAGGGAGGAAAGGAAAAGAGCTGAAAGGGGGACAACGCTCAAGTGTCTCTAGGGGTGAAGAGAGCAGGGACCGGCGATTTGGGGGGGACCAGCTACAAAAGAAACTGTCACTGGGAGCGCTGCGGCTCAGGAGGAAGCAGAGCTCCCCGGCTCGGCTCCAGGGCACAGCTAGCTGGCGGCTGCTGCCCTGTCGGCGGCACGGACTGGGGGCACAGGCCAGGGGACCGCGAGAGGTTGGCGAAGTGGCACCGGGTGTCGGAGCCGCTGGGCTCTCGCCGACACGGCGGCAAGACTGGCTGTCCTCTAGCATTGTGGCGACTCCCCATACTCAGACCTTGGCCTGCGCTTTTCTGGACGCTCCCAATCTCCGGAGACCCCCCCCCAGAAAACCGGGAAAGGAAGAAAAAGACGACGGCGGCAGCTCAATGAGCCTCTACAGTGGGAAGTCTGAACTGGTTCGGTCGTAGGCGGGAAGTTACCGGTGGGCTGCCCAGTGCAGTCGCGATGCTGCAGCGCGCTGCCCTAGCAGCCCGAGCCCCATAGAAGCTTCCCGCAACGCTAGCTCCCTTCCTCACGCTGCTGGGAGTCCCGGGACCTGGTGGGGCCGGCATGACCAACTTGCCCGGGGCCCGCCGCGCGCCCGGCCGCCTCCGGAGACGCGCTCCGAGCCTGGCTCCCACGGCCTCTGAGGCTCCGCGGGGCTGCGGCAGCTCGGCGGGCGGGCTACGAAGCATTCCCACACGGCGTTAGCTTGCAGTTCGGCGCGAACGCGAATAAGGAATCCTCCTGAGAAGCCGAGGCCACTGACGAGTCATTACGACCTGTAACTTGAGGGCCACGGAACTGCTACTCCCGTTTGCCTTTGGCGATCGTCTTTAACCCTCCGGAGCACGTCAGCATCCAGCCGCCGCGGCGCTCTCCCTGCAGAGGAGGACTCAGGACTACCCCTTGCGTGAGACGGATGGAGACCGAGCCCCTCCGAGGACTTGCCCCAGCGGTTCTGGCTCGCGCGGCTCAAGTCACCACCGTGAACAAGGGTGGGTTAGTGCCTTTTCTTTCCCCCGAAATGTCTTTTCTTCCGCGGTGTTTTTTGCCCTGATCTAGTCCCTTAAGTCTCCGCACACATTTCTCCCAGAGATCTGTAGTGTAGGTACGTGACAGATCTGCTTACATTTTACGTCCAGAGTAATTTGCCAGGAATATATGTGTGTCTGTGTGTCTTTCTGTTGAGTCACCAGAATTCTTCACAGGGGTTAAGCTAAAAAGCAAGGAGCGGAGCCCCTCTCCAATGGCTCAGTTTTGCTGAATAATCACGTGTGAATCGAGGGGCGGGCTTTTGGCAGGCAGATCTTACTAGTATTTACTACCAAGCTCTACTCCAGATTAACCATCCCAGTCCTTCTGTCAGTCTCCGATGCCATCATGCAGCCTGGTTAGGAGCAAAGGAAAGGGGAAAAAAGAAAAACAACTAATTCATCTTTTCCCGATCGTCAGGACCCTAAAGAATGGCCGAGCCTTGGGGGAACGAGTTGGCGTCCGCAGCTGCCAGGGGGGACCTAGAGCAACTTACTAGTTTGTTGCAAAATAATGTAAACGTCAATGCACAAAATGGATTTGGAAGGACTGCGCTGCAGGTTGGTATCGAGAGGTGGGGAAAACAGGTCAACAATGTTGCCTACGTGACCCGGGTTTCTGGAATAACGGCTTTAAAGCTTTCGGGGGTACAAAATTTCACTGTTTTTAAGCCTAGTTGGTTGCCATATTTTATATCTTTAAGTGGATCCAACTCTCCAAAATGACGTACTTTGAACGAACTCGTCAAATTCAATAACATCCTCGATATCAAGTGGGTTCTAGGTTTGGTCTTAATTTTTGGAATGTTTTTGTGACGGTAAGGATTTAAAAGGAGTCCCAGAAGCGCCGAGGTGTGTGTGTGTGTGTGTGTGTGTGTGTGTGTGTGTGTGTGTGTGTGTAAGACAGCTCTGTAAACACACTATTATGATTGTTATTTGAAGTAAATACACTGCTATTAGTGGTTTCCGTACTTTGCTCCAATAATTGACTTTAACGTTAATTTTCTTGACTACTGGTGAGGGTGTTTTTCCTTCAAATGCTTCAAGTTTTGACAAACGACCTTTCCTCGTTTGGACTAGGTGGCCTGGACACGGGGACAGGATGTACATTTCATAGTTAATGTAATACCATCCACCCATTCAGGATTAAGGAGGAATAAAAAGTTGAATTTTCTAATCAGAGCTCAGTTTGTAGTATTTTTGTCTTTGCGGTCATGCGGTGGTATGTTCTAATTTTCAGTTAATTAGATTACAAGCAAGAAATGAAATATGTCCAGCTACCAAGTATTGTACCTGATAATTTTTTCCTCCTATGGACGTTAGTTATCATGTAACTTAGTTGGAATGGTTAGAAACAGAAAAATGGCAAAGTAGTCTTAAATAGTTGCTTTATCAGACTCCTGATGGTACTCTTCTGAACTATGCTTGTTTGGAAATGCAACATTTGAAGCTGTTTTTTGAAAATCCTTTGGGGAGAAGGTTTTAGAGTGCTTTGTTTTAGTTACAAGAATTAGAAATTTAAGTGGCAGGAGATACACTATTAACAGACGAAGTTCAGTCTGTACATTTTAAATCAGAATATACTGACCTTGCAAAAATGTCAGTATTAAAGAGGCTTATGCATAGATACTAAATTATTTATCTTGTTATTTCAGGTAGATTCTGTGAGATAAGGATTTTTTTCTTTGTCCACCTAGTAGTTTTTAATAGGTTTGATGATGACAGCAATGCTACGAATTTAATATATTGAAAAGTTTCCTATTGAAAAACCCAAGATTTTATAAATCTCACAAGGAATGAGCAACTTAACCCATGTTCAGAATAAGATCTTACAGGACTTTTGACGAACAGGAAGGCTGAGAGATTAATACTGACAAAAAAAAGTTTTGACATTTTTAATACAACTTTGCAATCTTGTTTATATTAAGTACACTTATCAAGATACTAACACCCACTTATTGTGGCTTAATCCTAGTACATATAATGAAACACACACAAACAGGAGTCTCAAGGTTTATTTTCAGTATGTATAATCCTGACTCTGAAGTTGTGTCATAACTCAAGAAAGAACTTTCTTTCAAAACAATTTCCAATGTTACTATTATTTTCTGTAAAAGATGGCAAATTTTCTTCTACAGTTATGTTCACTTAACTCCATTGCAAAAGCTTCCCCCCGCCCCCACCAAGGGTGTAAGCTTTTCAATCAGGGTAATATCAAAGGCCTTAATCGCACATTTGCTTTACAAAGATCCAAGGTATCTGCCCTTATTCTTCCCAGTGCAGGTCCTTAAATGTGACTAAATCTTTAGAGGTAGTTGTGGCAAAAATTAGATTGTGCTAATATTTAACCAAAAGTATATATTTTTTTAATTCTCAGAAAAAAATTATGTATAATTTTTACCATTACCCCAAAGGAAGGGCTAAGTCAGCAGGGTTTTATCAACAGGGAAGTTTAATATCTTGGCCATCTATATAGCTTGCATTTATAAAATATTATTCATTCTAAATATATTTTATTACTTAATTTGTAATTATTTTTCAAACACACAATTTAAAGAGGTGGATCATCTTTGTATGTATCTCCCAGTGTATTATATTTAATTTCACAAACATTTCAGTGTCTACTATGTAATCTATTTATTATAAATTAGATTATTATGAATATACCTAAATATAAATGAAACCAGTTAAAATGCTGAACTATTTTCTGGCATGTTAATGAGACTACACTTTTTTTCACAACTAAATTATATGTGTTGTATAATTGCATGCTGCTCTACAAGACATTTTATAATTATGAGAGCCTAACAGAGATCCCTATTAGGGTGAAATGTATTCAAACAACAGTAGATAAGTCTTTATCATGTGAATTATTTGTATGTTGATAGCAAATTTTAATACCACATTCTGACTTTTAAAATGTTGGCAGTTTACAAATAGCTACTCCTAAATATCTGATAATCACTGCAAAAGGAAATAAGATGGCATCACCAGTTGATTATTAAATGCACCCAAACCCAAGACAAAATTGTCTGTCCCAAAATACACATTAAATATCTTATTTTCTCCTTTCTTGCTCACTTGAAAATCACTAGTCAGAACTTTAAGAAAAAGTAAGTAATATAGTAGGATGATCGTTTTATTCTTTTTAAGAACAGTTGCCATATAGTCATCTCCTATCTAATGCATGGTGTATCATGAACTTAGTTTTAGATAAATCAGCATCACAAGCAATGTAGAAAACCGTTGCTTATTTAACACCTTAATAATCAGGAACATTTGAAAATTTTGAGTGAAGGATTCTAAGCACTGAATACACCTACTAGCCAATATGAAATAACTTGCAAAGAAAAAAAATTTAAAAAAAAACACTTGGAAATTTGAGCTTTATCTATTTGGAGAGAACTTGTGAAAATTAATAATTTAAGAAAATATCAGATCTGGTATTTTAATAGATCATTTTTATACTGGGTTATACAGTCTAGTGTGTAGAAACACTTCTGTGGGGATTTTAAGAATCTCACTCTCATTTCTTTTGGGTAGCTATTTAGAAAATAAATTTTACCTACATTTGATTTTTTATAACTAATACCCCAGGTTTTGTATTTTATGAGCATAAGCAAGCAAACAGAAGACTCCCAAATTCCATTTCTTTTCTTTTCATAAATTCATGGAATTACACAGTTCTTTATGGGAGACAGAAAACTGAGTTGTGGGTGAATTTTACACAAGATGGACTGGTTCTATTTTATTGATCAATTTATCCTATTTTTGGACCTGTTTAAGATATTACATCATAGAAGCTCAATTTTTAGAAGCCCTCTTTTACTTTTACCTACTAGTACCTTCTTTCCTGCAATTGAGCCCTTCAAACCCCATCATGTGGGTCTTCCCCAAGCACTCTTTCACCTAAAATAAATGCTTACATAAATAGAAAGAGAGATGGCTATTTTAAAATATTCCTGTAGGAACACTTGAAGGATTCTCCCATTTTCTCTTCTCTCCTAGGTTATGAAACTTGGAAATCCCGAGATTGCCAGGAGACTACTACTTAGAGGTGCTAATCCCGATTTGAAAGACCGAACTGGTTTCGCTGTCATTCACGATGCAGCCAGAGCAGGTTTCCTGGACACTTTACAGACTTTGCTGGAGTTTCAAGCTGATGTTAACATCGAGGATAATGAAGGGAACCTGCCCTTGCACTTGGCTGCCAAAGAAGGCCACCTCCCTGTGGTGGAGTTCCTTGTGAAGCACACGGCCACCAAAGTGGGGCATCGGAACCATAAGGGGGACACCGCATGTGACTTGGCCAGGCTCTACCGGAGGAACGAGGTCGTTAGCCTGATGGAGGGAAACCAGGCAGAGGGAGCTTCGAATTTGCAATGAATATGGGGAGGGCTCTCCCACAGTGCCTTCTATTTTGTCAGTTAACTGGTTGGCTGTCCTATTTTACTATCACTTGTTAAAATTCAGTTTTGTCATACTTTAAGCAACTAGTTAAATCTTCTCAAACTGCTAAGTGGAAATCTTATTACAGGTTTATGAATATATTTAAGCAACATCTTTTTCACCTGCAAAATCCTGAGTTCTAACATGTAATTGCAAATAGCTTTGGTTTTCTCCTGAATATGTTATCTTTCCTTGACTTTTTCCTTGCTTCTCCCTTTGCCAGTCTCAAAACCCAACTTAAGAGACTTTGTTTTTAAAATGGTTTGTCCTGACTCTTCTTTTGCCTAATTAAACACTTTTTCAAAACAGGACAATGTTTTTCTGTTATTTCCTCTATTACTCCCACACAGTTTGCCACTCGCTAAGGAGAAGTGTACTGAAAGATCACGATGCATTAAATCTTGACATTGGAGAAAATAGACCAATTGAAAAACTAGACGTATTCCATTGATGATTCAGTTATTCTTTTCTTTCTTTCTTCATGCCTCCCCTCCAAAGATTTTACTTGGTGACTAGTATTTCTGCTATACAACAAAATAAGGACAACATTTTTTGAAGACCATACCTGAAGTTATTTCATTATGAATTTATCCTAATGTTCAGTCTTCCTCTTTTCTCAAAGTCAAGTTAAATAGTTGAAAAACAGGTTTCAGAGGTAGCGATCTGAAAACAAATATATGTTAACTTTAAAAGTCTTTTTTAAAAGAAAATGCCACCCTGAAAGTGCTTTCCACTAGTTTGATTTTTTAAAATCACGAAGTCAAACAATTGGCTAAATAATATATTTCTCAAAATTTATACTATAAGTATACTGTCAAGCTTTTTCTCCCTGAATGTCAGAAATGTAAAATTACAAAATGTGAAGTCCTAAAATATAATGCAAATACAAATTTTTAGGGGATAAAAAATACAACAAGAAAAAATATATAAATTATGTTAGGGTCATAACTAATTATGTATACATGTAAGGGTCTTAACTGCAGTATAATAAACATAGAAACTTTTACAATAAGTAAATAGGCCACTTCTATATATGGTACTTGATTCCCACAAAATTTTTTAGTAAAGGCTCATAAAATCTTTTTAAGAATACGTTTAGCTAAAAATTAAAAATTTTGAATGAACTAGAAATATAAAATTTCAAAGATAATTGTTCAGTATCTACTACTTACTCTAATTTTAATTAAAGATTTCGCCAAAGGATTTCAATGCAGTTACCATTTATAAATTTATAAATACATTATTCATCATCTCCGACATGAACAAAGATGTTTTATGTGAAAGCTCCCCCCTCTGCTTTATAAGCTCCCTGCCCTGGGTCCAAAAAGAACAAAATACTTCAAGGTTTATTGAAGGACATGTTTCTGATGCCTGCCCTAACAAGGATTGGAATGGTCGCAGGCAAGTGGTTTTCAGTAATTTATTTTCTATGATATAAAAGAATATAAAAGAAAATGTTTAATCCCTTTAGCACTGAATTTCACCTTTCTTAAGTGCAGTAAGACTTCAACTTCTGCCCCCTCTAACCACAAATTACTGAATGAATATATTTTTGACACCGACATGATATTAAACTTCAAACACTTATTTTAAAGTTTTTTTTAAAGTAGAAATTGAGATGTTTTGAAGAAAAAAGTGTTGTGTTTTGGATTTTAAAACCAGAATCAGCATACAAAATACACTGCTTGGGAAAGCTGAATACTTTCAAAACAAAAGGCTATTCCTAAAAAAAATAAAAACACTTCTTATAAGTTTCAACTGTAAAGATGGACGTTTCTGAATATAAAGTGGAGTTTCATAAACTTGCAAGACCCAGCATTAAAATCGCTCTTTAGAAATTTCAAATATAAAGGCATAGGGTGTCTATTAAGCTAAACAGAAGTACTTCTACAGTTGCTTTGTTCTTAGGTGGTTGAAGCACAGTAAGGGGAGCGGGAGCGTCCTCTCTCTCTTCATTAGCCTAAATTTACTAAGCATTAAAACATCACCATATCTCTCTGGCTCTTCGCAGGAAATAGCTTTACTAATCTAAGTATTTTAGAAATGAGTTTTGTGGTCCTCTCTAGGAAATATGAAAAACCATTATTCAATCTCTCAAAAACCTCGACAATAGCAAGACTTTGGACATGCGAATTGTATAGGATGGGATGAAAAGGTGCTGCTGAGTTTAATGGGACCTAATTTACATCGAGCTGAGGTGGAGAAGGGTCTGAACTTAATTCATAAGCGGAGTGGAGAGACAAGCGCAAATTGATAGGATGATCAGACCCCCAAGAGACAACTCAATATAAAGGATGGAGGGTACTTCAGCAGGGATGCGCTCTCAGATTCAGTTCTTCACTGTGCCCGCATCCACTTTTGGAAACTTGGGCTCAGCCTTTGCTCAGAAAAGCTGAATTCAGGCTTACACCTGGGAGAAGAGGGGACACTAGCCAGATCTCAGGCCACGTTCTAGTCCTTGAGCCACTGAGCAAACTGCATTTTGCCATATTTCGGTAGAGAATCAATACTTTTCTGATCAACATTGCACATTTCACAATGGTGTGATGAGCTCCTCCTGCACACGCATTACACTGGTTGACTACTAATAGACAAAAGTATTCCATCCCGGGAAAACAATTCAATTGGTAATATTACAAAATTTCCTATCCTGTTGATCAAACGAACGCTGTGGAATCCGTAGCCCAGGACTGGTTTCGAAATCTCAGTTCCCAAAAAGGTGCTTTCGGCTTTTGCCGGGGGCAGAAGTAAGAGTCCAGAAGCGCTGGAAGATCAGTGCTGGAGAGAGAAAGGGTCGTACTCGCAGCCT